GTGATCCACCCGCCTCGGCCTCCCAAAGTGCTGGGATTACAGGCTTGAGCCACTGCGCCCAGCTGCAGCACTACTTATAATGGCCAAAATATGAAATCAATCTCGGTGTCCAACGACAAATGAATAAAGGATATGTATGTATATACACAGTGGAATACTACTCAGCCACTAAAAAGAACAAAATCCTGTCATTCACAGCAACATGGATGGAATTGGTGGATGTTTTAACTGACAAGCCACAAACAGAAAGTTAAACACTGCATGTTCTCACTCATATGTAGACACTTTAAAAAAAGTTGATTTCGTCGGGTGTAGTGGCTCATGCCTGTAATCCCAGCATTTTGGGAGGCCAAGGCAGGCGGATCACCTGCAGTCAGTAGTTCAAGACCAGGCTGGCCAATATGGTGAAACCCCATCTCTACTTAAAATACAAAAATTAGCCAGGTGCGATGGTGCGCACCTGTAATCCCGGCTACTCAGGAGGCTGATGCAGGAGAATCACTTGAAACCAGGAGGCAGAGGTTGCAGTGAGCTGACATTGTGCCACTGCACTCTAGCCTGGGCGACAGACTCCCTCTCAAAAAAAAGTTGATTTCATAGAAGCAAAAAATAGAACAGAAGATACTGGAGGCTGGGAAGAGCAGGGTGAAAGAAGAGACAGGGAAAGATTTGTTTCTGTTTTTTGTTTTTTGTTTTTTTTTTTGAGACAGAGTTTCACTCTTGTTGCCCAGGATGGAGTGCTTGGCTCATCAAAACCTCTGCCTCCTGGGTTCAAGCGATTTTCCTGCCTCAGCCTCCTGAGTAGCCAAAATTACAGGCATGCACCACCAGCCCGGCACTTTTTGTACTTTTAGTAGAGACAGGGTTTCTTCATGTTGGTCAGGATGGTCTTGAACTGTGGACCTCAGGTGATCCACCCACTTTGGCCTCCCAAAACGCTGGGATTACAGTTGTCAGTCACACTGGGCAGAAAGATTTGTTAAAAGACGCAAAATTACAGGCCGGGCGCGGTGGCTCAAGCCTGTAATCCCAGCACTTTGGGAGGCCGAGGCGGGTGGATCACGAGGTCAAGAGATCGAGACCATCC